ACATAAATATCTTTTATTATTGGTTACCTTGTATGAAATGAGTTCTGACATATCTGAATTTATAGGACAACTTGGTGAAGTAACATTATGGTATAGAAAGATATTAAAAATATCTCCAGCTTCCTCAGGGTATTCTCCACAGTTTTCCAGCTTTCCATCTACGATAGTTGTGGTTCTAAACTGTTGCGTGTGTTTTTTTACCTAAAGAGCAATAATGTCACAGCTCCTCAGAGAAGCACTTTTCTATTTGAACACTAGCCTGTGATGTGTTAGCGTTTGTTCAGTGAACAGCGGGCTCTTTCTATGTGCCAAGACTGCATTGGACATCGCTTGAAAGAACATATTTTCATGAGTAACTCATAGTTTGCTGAGGAGGTCCTGTGGCAAGTTTGGTAACAGAGGTAGGAATATGATGCGGGAACCCCAAAGAGGTCAAGCGTACATTACAGTAGGTAAATGCATGCCACTTCTTAAAATTCTGGGATCGTGAATGTTTTTCTGGCTTCAAAAGGTGGTTGTTTGTGGGATCTATATCATCAGAACATATAGGAACAATCAACCAACCTGTATAAGTCAGTCTCGTTTATTTATTAACACTTCTCAGGACAGAGGTTGACAAACATCACCCAAGTACACATTTTATCAGTATTATAAAACATTAAAATCTAAAACATTCTCTGTCTTTAAAAAAAATTCACAAGATTCTTTGTAAACTCATGCTTTATTTTTTTTTTAATCTAACTATACTTCTCATTAAATATCTCCACTTAAAGCACCAGGAAGTCAACAGTAAAAAACAATCTAATTAGAAAATGAGCAAAAGATAGGAACATTCTCACTGAAGAGGGTATCCATAAAGCAAATAAGCACATGAAAAAGTGTTCAACATCATTAACAAGTAGAGAAATGCAGATTAAAACCCCAGTGAGGTGTCACTGCACCCTGGTAGAATGGCTAAATAAACCATGGTAATAACACTGAGTATCGACAAGGTCGCAGAGAAACTGGATGACACTGCCGGTGGGAATGTGAAAGGCTACAACTGCTCTAAAAGAATGTATGGCCACTTCTTACAAAATTAAGTAGAAGTATATCATACAGTCCAATAATTGCACTCATGGGCATTCAGCACAGAGAAATAAAAACGTATGTGCACACAAAAGCACAAATGTTCATAGCTTAATTTGTAATAAATAAAAACTGGAAACATTCCATTTGTCTTTTGGTGCATACATGGTTAAACACAACTATAACAGGAAACTTTACTCAGCGTAACAAGGAACAAAAACTACAGATACATGCAACAACTTAGATGGCTCTCAAGAGCATTATGCAGCGTGAAAAGAGCCAATTTCAAAAACCTTACATCCAGTTTGATTCCATTTATAGCATTCTTAAAGTGACAAAATTCTAGAGATGAGGAACAGAGTAGTGATTGTCAAGAATTAAGAAGGGAGGAAGGTGACTGGCTGCTAAAGGGCAGCACACAGGATGTTTATAATGAACTGTTCTGTCTTGACTGTGGTGGTGATCACAAATCTCCATGCAATAAAAATTGCATAGAAACACTAGTATATACACAAGTGCATATAAAACTGAAGATACATGGAAAAGGTCAAAACACTGTATCAGTGTCAATTTCCTGTGATAAAATACTCCATCTAAGCAAGATGTCACCATTGGGAAAAACTGAGTGAAGAATATATGTGATCTGTCTATTGTTTCTTGCAATTTCATGTGAATCTATAATTATCTCACAAATTAAAAGTTAGAAAGCAGGCATTGAGTCTGAGTAGAAGAACATAGGTTTTTGAATCAACAAAATTATGTTCAAATTTTAGATCCACCAATTACTTCCCTGCTGTGGGACCATAAGCCAATTCTTTAATCTTTCTGTGCATTTTCTTTTTCTTTTTTTTCCCAATTTTATCGAGATATGATTATTGACATATAATGTATTAGTTTTAGTTGTAAGACATATGATATATACATATATTGTGAAACAAGTTTAATTAACATCCATCACCCCAGAGAATAACAGTTTCTTTATTTTTAAAGTGAGTATAATAATACTACTTCCCTTAGTAAGTTGTTTTGAGGATTAACTGGCTTGGAGTAGCCTACCAATATCTGATAAGTTTTAAAATGTCATTATTATATATAAAAGCCATTTATCACTTATATTGAATCATTAAAAATATTTTATCTTTTCATCTAGCCCTTTAAGGATAGGTACTCTGACTTTTCTGCAGAATTTTAATATTGCTAGGTATTCTCTGTTACGTTAACTTCTGCTCATGTCTTTATTTCTTTCTACTTTCGTGGGATTTACTCTATTCCAGCGATATTCAACCTTGTTCATCTCATGGCACATGTAAACTAATTAATAAAATTCTGCAGCAGGCCAAAAAAAAATGTATTTTTTGCTGATCTGACAAAAAAAAAAAAACAGGTATAATTTTAATTCATTCACACCAGATGGCTGTTGTGTTGAATGTTGTCGTTTTTTTAACTTGATAAGGAAAGAGGTCGATGCCTCTGACAAAATAGTCATCTATTGATATTGCATGTTTTAAAAATTCCTGTGGCACACCAGTTGCAAATCGCTGTTTTATTCTTTTTCCTTCCTTGTGTGGACACTTAACTCATTAAATATCTTTCTTCCTTTCTAATACATGCTTTTGAAACTGTAAAATATTCTTTTATAAATGTTTTTTTCAAATCACAAATTTTGGTGATGGCAAGCCAACGTTTTCATTGTCATTCAGTTATAAATATAGCTGTTTATTTTTAGTTAATCTAATAGTTAACTTGAAAATGTGTTTTTCAATTTCTAAATATGTGATGGGGAATCTTTATGGTCTTAATAATTATTTGAAATATGTTAAGCTTCCCTTGTGGCTTAGCATATGATCAATTATTATGTTTATTATGTGCTTAGAAAAGAATATGTGTTCTCTTTGAGTGTGGAATTCATCTTCATTTAGTACATTGATTTGGTTAATTTGGTTGTTCAGATTTTCAGTATCCTTACTATATTTTTATCTGATTGACCTATTACTTACTGCAGTACAGATGTTTCTCTTTGCCAATTTTTACTTTTTATATTTTTTTACTATATTGTTAGATATAATATTTGGAATTGTTATATCTCCCTGAGGAATTGTTTATTGCATCACAATGCAATGATTTTTTTAAATTTTTTATTTATGTATTGTCTAAAGTTTTACATATGTCTCCTTCCCCCTCACCTCCCGCTTGACCCTCTCCCCTGTCCCCCTAGCCATTCTCACCCCGGGCAAGCCCCAACTGCCCCAGTGTCTGTGTCCATTAGTTATACTAATATGTATGCATACAAGTCCTTTGATTGCTCTCTAACCACCCCTCCCCTGACATTTATCTCTATTTTTATTCATTTTAGCTTTAAATGGGTTTTGCCTTAAAACATATGTTAAATCTGAGATTGAAATAGTCATTTAAGTTATCTTTTAGTTAGTCTTTGCATGGAATTCTTAGGGGAAACAGTTTTTTCTTCAGGCCAGAGCCCAGGCTTTCTCTGGCAAGTGTATTTGCTATTTCTATATAAGGCATTATCTTTCCAAATCCACCCACTTACTGAAAGCTGCGCAAATGTCAAAATTTAATGTAAAGGTTCTCAATTTAATCCCTTTGCCATATACAGTCCTAAGGTTTCATCTTCCTTTTCCACCAGGGCATCACAAATTGCGCTTCAATTTTTAAGACTGACTTCCATCCTTCATTCCCTCCCTCTTCCCCAAGCCTCAGTCTTGGCAAATCAGCTCATGTGCTTACTGTAACTTTTGGTTTTCAATTCTCAACTTTCAAGATTGCTCTTGCAAATTCGCCTATTCATTTTAAAGAATGTTATATTTTCTTCAACATTTCTAGATGATTGGGGGGGAGGGCGCTGTGTGTGGAGGAAGGGATATTGAGGTTATCTGGTGTAACATGGAGGTCAGTTCTTAATAGGAGTACTGATCTCACCTGAGAATGGCACCATGCTATTCAGCAGATGTAGAATACTGGATCTATACTCTCTGAGACTCAACATCCAATGAATTAAGTACAATCTCATGTTTGAGTGTATGCTGGATGCCCTGGGGGGATGGCAACACCTATAAAAATCTGCGATGTGTGTATTTCTTGGTTCAAGCCGTTTCAAAATTAAGGTACAAGAAAACTAGTCTTTAGAAGCCCAAGATTCTTTTACATTTCAACTTCTAAATTTGAGAATATTAATAAACGATGATAGCATGAAAATCTTTTGCATACATAAGACTTTTGTAAAACAGTTTTTTCTGAGTACAAAACTGATTTAGACTTAACTTTTCAATTGAAGTTCTTTAAAAATGTTATGCACATGTTTCAAAATGACCTAAGCAGAGTACAGTAATGATCTAGCTATCATAGGCTGCACTAATACTATATTCAAAATAGACAATTTAAGGAAAAAGGGTTTCCAAGTTGTAATTAATACAGTTTTTCTATAAGCTAGGTATATTGTTTATATACATGCCCCAATTTATGTCTTTAAATGTATGTATTTAATTCCTTTTTAGAGTATTCCTATGCTTTTTTTGTGAATTTTATGTACACAGTGCTTAAAACAGCTGGAATCCAACAAAAGTTTCCTTTGAAATACTTACTTTTGAAAACATTTTTTCTTTGTAAAATTTTTAGAGGTCAAAGTTAATTTTCCTCTTATGAACATTCCTACAATTGCACCAAAAGTAAATTCATTCCCCAGAACATTAGTTAAATGATAAGACACTTCGTCAAAAGCAGAATGTCATGATTTTGCTGTTGGAGTTTAGTTCTCTGTGCCCAGAAGGACAAGTTCTAAAATAGTAATTTTTTGTTTATTGGTTCTTCTCATGTGTCAAAGGAAAAGTTAAATATGTGGTTGAGCCAATGACTCTTAGATTATTTTGTCTAATAAAAGGTGTATCTCTTTATAACAACTTTACATTTTCTTCTAGGTTACCTTCCGAACAAGAATCTATCACTGTAATATTAACAGCCAAGGCGTGATCTGTCTGGACATCCTAAAGGACAACTGGAGTCCGGCCCTCACCATTTCTAAGGTTCTCCTCTCCATCTGCTCGCTTCTTACAGATTGCAACCCTGGTGAGAAGACTTTAAATCCAGTCTTAAAATTGTTCGTCTAAATTAGCCACTACTTTCCTGCCATCACCACTACTTCCACTGTTACTATTGTTTTTATTTTAAATTTCCACAGAATGTAACTCTTTTTAAATTGGGTCTTGTCATTAGTCTTTTTAAGACCTATTATTTGCCAAGAAGTAAAAAGCACAGTATGATAAAAATTAATTAAAAGTCATTTTAGATTAAGAAGTGCATTTGAAGAATGTATTACGTTCTGTTACCAAAAAATAATAAAAATGTTAATTGAATAGTTTAATCTTTAATTAGATGCCTACCAGAAGATGTTAATTTGAGAAATATGGGCTGTTTAAATTTGATAATAACCAGGCAGCACCGCACAGGCGTGACCTTTGTGGCATCCTAATAACTGTGCACCCTTTTAAACTGTTAGAACAAAACAGGGGAATGATCTGAACTAGGATATACCCAAAAGGTAATAAGGAGAAGCAAATACAACTTTGCAGGAAAACTAAAGAGAGTTTATGGCCAGTCCTTCATGGATTGCTGGTGTGCTTAATGCTGAAAGCTTTTACTTCCTGTGTGTGATTGTGTGGCTTAAACCAGCTTCTTTTATCTAAAAGACAAAACAACTGCCAACTTTTTACATATTTGCATTTATTTTGGAAAATCCAAAGATAGTTATAGAGTTTTCATTGATGTTCTCAGTGAGAAATTCTTTTGAATATTTAATTGATGTCTTAATATTTCATAAGATTCCATCTTTTATGTGCAGAAATAAATATTGTTTGCTAGATAAATGAATTTTTAGACAAGAGTAATTACAAATGGAATTGGGGTCTCTCTGAGGCTCCTGGCTGACTTATAAAACATGGAAAAATTATAATTTTTTCAAGTGTTATGTTTCTTATTTTTCAGTAATAAAGACTTTTTAATGAAGAAATATAAAAACAATTAAATTGTCATATATTTAGAATGCATGACAAATTAATGCTTTTAACACCAAAAAGAAAAGAAAATATAATTGTACAAGATAATTATTATAAAGTATTTTTAATCAATTCAGACTTCATTCCAGATAGTGAAATTTAATAATGCTGCGCTAATTTAAAATGGAATGACAGACATTTTGTTCTTGCAGTCTCATTATTCCTATTTCAATTTCACTTGTCTCTATGACTGAGTATAACTTCATTTGGAGGCAGTGTCACAAACAGGCATTTATTGATGAGGCCTAGACCCAAGTGGTCCTCTGGAAGATTGGAGCCTGGGACTGCATCTGTTTCCCCACTCCCAAAACATACTTATGAGATTTGCTGAAATTTGGAGGCCAGGGTTGTTTTAGGTTTTATTTTTATTTTTTTAAGAGAAAATTTATTTTGACAGGTAACTTATTTAAGAAACTTTTGATACCAAGTCATTACGCTGTGCTATATGTCACTTATATACAGTGTTGTATGTCACTTATATCTCAGTGAAGCTGAGGGAGGGCAATTTCTGATACCCTACTGTTTATGAGGTATAATACTTCTGAGCACTAAGTGAATTTAAACTCCTGTGAGTTTAAAATGAGATAATGTATGTGAAAACCCTCTATCACAGTAATGGATTCTTGTGTTATTTCCCAGAGAATTTAGGACTCTGAATGGGCATACATTAGACAACTTACAAATACCTATGTGGTTGAGTTTAATAGTGAGAAGATAGTATTGGGTAATCTTTTGACTCCACTGCCTTGCACTGACACTCTTGGATTTTATAATTTGAAAAACCCTAATCCTGAATTCATAGTGCCTATTGCATTATCTCTTGGGGAGAATTATCTCTCAGAAGGAAATGTTGTCCAGCATTTACCACAGGAGTCCTGTGGTTTAGGTAGGGTTGATGAGATAATCTTTGTTTTATATTAGAAATTAGGGCTGAGGAAAGTTAAGAGACCAGTACAAGTCACACAACTAATTAAACAGTGGAGCTTGTTTTAAAGTCTACATCTCCTGACTATCAATATCACGCAATAAGGATGGACAGCCCCACTCTGAAACCAATAGATGGGTGCACCTGACATTATTTTACTAATCTTAGTTCTACTTTCCTACTCTACTGCCGTTGCTTTCTAAAGTGTTGTGGAATTGTTTCATTCTAAATGTAATTCTGATATTATATCATTATAAATATATAATTCTGCCCTGATCGGTTTGGCTCAGTGGATTGAGTATTGACCTACAGACTCAAGGGTCCCAGGTTCGGTTCCAGTCAGGGGCATGTACCGTGGTTGCGGGCACATCCCCAGTAGGGAGTGTGCAGGAGGCAGCTGATTGATGTTTCTCTCTCATCAATGTTTCTAATTATCTATCTCTCTCCCTTCCTCTCTGTAAAAAAAAAGAAAAAAAATCAATAAAATTAGGTCATTGGAAATTTGAAAACCAAACATTTGATATTGAAGAATTATTGCCAGAAATTTTTAAGCATAATAAAATTGTGATAATGAATTTATATATGTCCTTGCCATTTAGAAATACATATGACCTATTTGCAAATAAAATTCTTTGACATCTAGAATTTGCTTCAAAATAATCCAGAAAGATTGGAAGTGGGTAGCAATATGGAAATACCTGATCAGAGCCAAGAATGAAGCATGCAACCAAGGTGCATGTCCTTGACTGGAATTGAACTTGGGACCCTTCAGTCCACAGACAATGCTTTATATGTTTAGATACTTTTTAATTGCCAAAGATTACTCATATCTATAATCTATAAAAGGTGTGTGATTTGGCTCTTTTGTTTTGTGAAGGAATTATTTGGGCTCTGACCTTCACCCAGCATATTTCATTCCTCTATCATCTACCTTCAAACTATAGGCTGCCTTGTAACAGGCAGGGTTCTACATTCCTAAACAACCATAAAGTCTTTGTCCACCACTCTTCAAACAGGTGGAGCAACACAGACTCTAAGCGTACCCCCAAACATCAACACTCGGGATGGATGAGCTTGCCCCTCTCTTCCTGTCATCTTCCAAATAAAAATTAAGTGTCAGTTACTCCCAGTCTTAGATTTATGTAAAACTTTATTAGAACAACAAGTAGAGCTGACAATGGTGGCTAAATAACCCTCAGCCTCACACTGATTACTAGTAAGCCAGGGATGAGCTCAGCTGCAGCTTCACTGTTAAGAGCGTTCTTATCAAATGGACTGAGCAACTGGAAGAGGAATTTGCTCCCAGTGACTCCTTTCCAGTGTATGTAAACCATCAGAGAATGGCTCCTTCCTCATTCTCCCGCATCATAGCCCTTTGTTTCAGATCTCTATGGCCCTTTTAAAAAAAAACAAAAAAAAACAGCGAATGCAATTCCTATCCACAAATTGTCTTTAACTTTGGTTATCAGCTGATTGTTTTTAACCTGACTATGATTAGATAGTAAATTGTGTTACTAAATATTAAAATTGTATAATTGGTAGTGATTACTAAGGAATGTGGAACATAAAATAAGGTTAATTATTTCAACACAGATATGTTTATGTAGATTATTTATACTGTTTGTGACCTGTTAGACTAATGAGAGGTACAGAAATAGAATTTAAGAGGAGTCTATTGCTTACTGCTACTGCAGCACGAATCTTGTCTGCATGTATTCCATTCTACTACACTTGAGAACTAGCAAAGAACAATTTCTTTAACTAGGAAAATGACGTGCCTGCCTGTTTTCAAAACAAGCTATGTTAGCAGGAATACAAATATATATACCTGTAATTCAGACATTACAGGTGACTACATAGATATCAGGTTGCTTCTGATGTAACAAGTAAAAGGGTTCCCTCTTTGAGTCGGAGTTCCCAGGAAAGGCGGTTAAAAGTTGCGGTGATTGCAACTAGGCCAAGAAGTCTTTGATTTCTTTTGGGGATGTGTATTTGAGAATTCTGGCATTGTACATATTCATAGTTTCGGAGGGAAGGTAGCTTAAGGTGAAAAAGTGGAGGTTGGGGGGGATTCTGGATGTACTCCTTTAATAATGCATACGTGTGGGCTTTTTCTCATAAAAATAACGCATGCTTCTTATATTTTTTCTAAACCAATTATCCTCTAAAGACAAGTATTTAATTTTTGTTTGAGGCTCTTTGCTTTGTAGACTCAAGTTTGGTGGGACTAAGCCGAAACCGCTTTGGCTCAGTAGATAGAGCTTTGGCCTGCGGACTGAGGGGTCCCAGGTTCGATTCCTTGGTTGCGGGCACATCCCTAGTGGGGGATGGCAGCTGATCGATGTTTCTCTCTCATCAATGTTTCTAACTCTCTATCCCTCTCCTTTCCTCTCTGTAAAAAATCAATAAAATATATATTTTTTAAACAATTTTGGTGGGACTAGGCAAAGTATATTTGTCAGTTAAGTCTGTCTCATTGTATTCTTAGTGTAAATTTAGAGACACTAACCTCAACTTTTAGCCTTGGCTTTTACCTACTTTGACTAGCCTTTGCCTTGTTTTGTTGCCCCTTAATTAATATAAATTTAGGCATAGTTAGCTGTTGCTACAATTTTTGTTATAAATCTGTTGCTAACCCTGCAATAATAACCTAATTTGTTGGTTTGTAAGTTTAAAAATTGCTGTTTTTACTTATTATGAATAAGTTTGTCACTCTTTAAAATTAGTCCTCTTTCCTTCTGGAGTCACATTTTTTGTTTTATTTTGGGCACCGGGTAAGGACAGTACTAAGTTAATACTTGGCCACAATAACTATTTTAGCCCTTATAGTTAGTAGATATGCTAACTATACATGCTTCTCTCCTGTACTTCTGTTCATGCGTTTTATTATGGCTATTGCTGATCATTTTATTGAGGATATGTATTTTATTACAGATCATTTGACTCTTATTTGGCAAAGAGCCATATAAATAAGAGATTAGGTTTTCTGCTTTGGGTAGGGTCGAGGAGCACATTTCCTAACTACCCGGCTTATTTACAGCTTCTGTCAGGAAAGACATAGTGTGTCCGGCTTTGCTAAGCAGTTTCTTCCCCACAAGAGTTAGTTTCGTGTGGCTGTGGTCCAGCTGTGCTGTAGTCTCTCGGTCTTCACACAAATGGAAAGGTTTTAGACGATATCCCTGGGCAGGAATCTGCCACCGGTATCTTTTCTACCCTTTGAAGCGCAGAAATCATGAGATTATTAAGCAGCTGATGATGGTCTGTGTAATTCTCTTAGCTCATCTCCATATGCCACTTTGGAAACTCTTAAGTGCTGTGCTGTTTTTTTGTTGGTTAATTTGTTTTGCAATTTAGACTTTTGTCCCTAAGCAGTCTACATCTACGATGTGTGGTTTGTTAATACAGCAGGCTTGTTAAATAGAATCATTCTAATGATATTTGTTGTCAGAAACACCTGAACCTGGTTTATATAATACATGACATAGCATGGGATTTGCTTTATATAAGTTTAAAAAGTAAACACATTTTTAAAATTCGGTAACAGCTCACCCTGCACTCGGAAGGGTCCCTGAGCTCTTTCTGTCTCGGTACAGTGCCCCGTGTGGCTGTCACACTTCCCTTTGTGGGAGTTCTACTCCTGAGACCACCGGCCACTCATATAGCTCTGAGGAGACCCTCTGTGACCAGAGGACTTGTTAATGAAACTGTGGGCACTTTGTTAGTAGTTATCTAATGTCCTCAGGGGCCAGGTGTGAAAACGGAAGAGAAGAGTGGCGCTTTTAAGGTGGAGCATTAGACACTCTCCGCCTGCAAACAGAAATGGCAAACACGGTGTGAACCACTGGCTCTCTGCTCACATTCTCACATCGCTTGTTCATTGCTGCCTTCTGGAGACTGGCTCTTTGAGGAATCCTACTAGAAAAAGCAATTGAGAAAAAAAGGATGGACCATATCAGAGGTTATCCAAAAAGTACTACAACCCACGTCATTTTTTGAAAGAGGACTTCATATAAAGCTGTTCTTCAGCCTTTTGTGATCCTGGAGTACCCTCTTACTCATCTCTGCCCTGTCCCTATCAGCCCAGGGACTTTGTGTACTGTATTTCCGGTAGCTTGAAATAGTGTAGATACAAATGGTGTATTATATGTGTCTTCAGAGTACGTATGCACACCTCCACCCAGGCTCTGGTTCGACTCCTCCTCAAGCCTGAAGTATATCCCCGGCCTGTATAAGAGCCACTGAGCTGGAGCCAGTGCAAAGTGGGGTGCACCAGCACTTATTTCTGACTTCAGGGCAGAGCTTGGCAGTGTGGCGGTGTGGCTCCTTGGTTACTCCTTCACCTCCCTCTCTTTTCCTGATGCTGGGCTCTTCTGTTTTATCTGTATTTCAGCCACTTGGTTTTTGTGCTGCTGTTATCTTTTTCTTCTCTTTTTTTTTTTTAATCCTTATTTTAAAAAGTCACCTGCTACTCTTCTTTTAACCTTTCTTTCACCCAGTAAAATCTATGTTGTTGTTTTTTAAAGGAAATCCAAGCTATCTTTTTTCAAGAGTTTTATTATTATCTCTATAACAGAAAGACTTAGCTTGTCGTGTCTGTTGGCCTAGTATAACCTTGGAATATTCCATTTCACTGCCGGTGCCAACTGCTGGCTCTTGTTCTCCTGGTGTGCCGGGGCGGGGTGGCCCCAGAACTCTCAATAGGGCATGGTGTCAACTCTGAAAATGCAGCTGAAACTGTAATGTCAGAGCTGTGCCATTCTCAGCCAATACATTTCTTCCTAATGCCGTGGCCTCTTTCTCCAGTTAAACAGTTTCTTTTTTTAGTCTAGTTTGGAAAATACGTTGCATACAAAGTCCTATACTCTGGAAGTAATATTGCCAACGCAGTATCAGGAGCATAACACAATAATCTCATTTTGCTATTCTGAACTTCTTTGTCCTGTGTCTGAGCGGCAGTGTTTTAAATGAAAACAAGTTAGGTCCTGGTGTAGGGTGGTTTGTGTGTTTAGCTCTAAGCTGTTGTCCTGATCTTCACTACGTTTATGCCTGACTTCTCTAAGTCACAGTGACATACCTTTGCATGCATCTTTCCAGCAAACCTTGTTTCCCCTTGCTAGACACGCCGGTGTCAGACAGAGCATGCACACGATGGTTATACCTTGCCATGTTCAAAAGATTAAGACAAAAAAGCCCATTTTACTGAGTGTTGAAGATGTCAGGAAAACCAAAATGTTGCCCAACTCTCTAAGAGCTCAATAGTACGTAAGTATTAGTAAATTAAAATGAGAAGACTAAAGTTAAGTATTACTTGATAAAAGGGCAAGTTAAGTTAGATTCTGAAGCATTATTACAGTTCTTAATTAATATTTACAAATTCACCTCTTCATGAAATAAATGCTTAAGAATCAATTATTATGTCTTTTGCTTAATTAGAACATAAATGTTGCATGTTAAACTGGGCACTCAAGTTGGCTGGAGCAGAAACGTGCAAATACCTACACTAATCAACTTGTAGTAAGTTGTTGTTACCAGAACTGTACTTTGCAAACATCCTCTGGACCTCCTTACGGTTTTAAAGCATCAACTGTTTCCATTTACTCTAGTCCTTCCTAAAACTATGAAGTTTCTCTCTTTTTCTGGAGGAATTACTTTTTTATGAATAATTAGTAATGTGTGTTTACTGCCTTCTTGTACTATGCTAAATTTACAGAGAATTAGAAACTCATTAGTAAGTAAAAATAGTAACACATTTCACAATTAAATGAGAATTGATTTTTACTTTTTTCAAGGAGTTTTAGTAAAGAATTGTTGCTTCAGCAAGTCCTTGCTGTAAGCGAAGTTCCTAGAGATACTAGGAGGCACAGGAACAGGCAGAATGTAAGCTTCTGTTTCCTTTAAGGTCTTCTGAATAGATAATCAGAATGCTTTTTCAGAAGTTTTCATTTTTAATTTTAAAAAGTGGGTACTGTATATTTATTTATTTATATATATATATATATATATATATATATTACCCCAATTACATATATTGCCATTGTAGTAATAAACAAGAACATAGGCTGTAAAAAAAATTTTTTAACACCACGAAGGAAATTATTACATGACTGTGATGCTTTCTTCCTAAATGTTCTCTAGTCTAATATTCTTTAAATAGTCATGCAGGCAGTATGTGTATGCATTTTAAGTAGTCAAATTAATGATAACATTATCTCCATGCTGTCATTCCACCTCCTGAAAATATATTTGCAGGGTAGATTTTCTGTTTGTGGTCTGGGGGTGAGAATTAGGTCTGACTTCATGTCTTAATTATGCATGCACATGACCACAGTTGTGTTCTCACCAGCCACCGTTTGATGGCTGCCCGTGAAAATAAAGTTTCTATGGTGTGAAGAAACTTAGACCAAGATCCTAGTAAATCTTGGTTAGTACCAAGGTGTGGAAGGTACCATGTGGTGTGTAGTACTTGAACTGAAGCAGATCCTTTGGCGTCACCCTGGAGGTCCTTGTCACTCTCGGGGTCATGGCTGAATTTGAGGAGGAAAAAGAAATGTCCTACAAGTTGTTCCTGGAGAAGCCAGAAAACATTGCCCTTTAAGAACTCACCACCCAACAGCAATTTGAAAGTACTTAATGCCACTGAATTGTCTACTCAAAAATGGGTAAAACGATAAGTTCTCTGTTATGTATATTTTATCACAATGAATAAAATTTTTAAAGAATTGATATCCACTTTCTCAAAGCAGCTCAGTAGAGATACCAAACAGCTTGACCTACAGGTTAACCCGCTGAGTGACAGTTTGACCCACAGGGGCAGGAAAGGAAAGTGGGGAAGCAGCCCTCTGCACTGAAGCGAAGCGGCCTGAGTCCCTCAGCGTTAGCACCCAGGCGGCAGGGGGATGGGCACTGCCTGTTGAAGTCTCTTCTCTTCTTTTGCCAGGTTTGTGATAATGATAATGAATGTGGTAACAACAGCAACAGCTGGCGACTTTGAGCCTACTGAGAAGCAGACACTGTTCAGTGCCTCTCATTAGTTTTCTCATTTAACCCTATGGGTGGGCACTGGTGGTGTTATCTCATTTTTGCAGGTGAGAGGCACAGGCTCAGAGAGGTTAGATTTGTTCAGATAAGGGTCAAAAGTAGGATTTAGATTCATGGAGTTTGTCTCCAGAGCTATTACCCTTAACATCTGGGTCATACCACCCCAGCCCTGGTCTCTGTGTGACACAGCTCAGATGTTGCTTCTGTGCACAGACACCACACTGATGCCACAAGTTCAGTGCTTGGCTGTTTAACAGACATTTACCAAGCTCTGGCTCAGACCTAAGACCAGGCCAGGAAGGAAGGAGTCATTAAAATACTTAGGTTAAAGTCCTTGCTCTTGAGATTAAAGTACAAGATTCTGACTGCATGTGAATCATTGCATAAAACCAGGGCTTGCATTCACCATGAGGACCATGGTGACCAGTGACAGATGCCGTCTGCCTCAGGGTGCCTGCTCTGCCTGTGTGTCCTGCGTTAGAACCACCACTCACAGACCCTGGCTAGGATTCAAGGTGCTCCAGTTCAGGGAGCCCAGAATGCTTTTATCAGCATATCAGCAATGCCTACAACCCTTTGGCTGGGTAGAGGACTCTCAGCGTTAATCAGGGGGGTTAGGGGGGGGGGGGGGGGTTAAGGGGGGGGGGGGGGCTCCTTCTCAGTCTTCAGACTCCCTCACCAGGGTAGATTTGTAATAGCCAAATACATTAGACCCAAGAGGTAAAATTTCCTCCAAACAGACTAAGCCAAGGTGTATATAAAGTTTCTGTCGGAATGCTGGTAAAATAGTCTTCATCATGTACCAATCCTAGGGACTGTGGGTATTCACTAGACCTGTATTTCCTCAGTTTATCCCATATTTTAGGCAGGGCAGGAATTGATCTTCCTCCTTCCTCATCTTGCTTACTGCTAGCAAAATATCCAGCATTATAAAAGGCTCATGGTAAACATCTATTTAAATGAATTAATAGTCACTATTTTTGAGGCACCATGTAAAGAGGGCCTAGTTAAGGAAAGTAACCAAAGAGAGGATTTTGAGTTTGAACATTTCTACAATTCCAAAAGCTAAGTAGTCAGGAGTTCTCACAAGGAAAACTGTGTGTGTTTGTGTGTGTGTGTGTGTGTGTGTGTGTGTGTGTCCACTGCTGAGCTCAGTCTGCACAATCAGCAGCCCCAGCTCCTTCATTGTGAACAGAATCTGGACCACTGTTTATTTTATAAATGTGAAATTTTGAACTTTTAAAAATGTGAGGTTTTGTGGCATTTCTATTAGCTGCCCTCATCTCTCCCTCAGCTTTCACCCATAAATGCAAGCAAAGTCTGAAATGCTCTTCAACTACCATTCAAGGCTCGCTGTGAATCATCCAGAAAACGTTGACCTCTAGTTTGACTAAAACCTAGCAGCCTGTTTTCCCTCATCCTCTTCTGTTTCCAGCCAGTCTTTTAGCTTCCCAAATATAGGATATCTTGCTTTAGCGTTCTTTACGTGTTGCCATAGAGTTGGTCGTTCTATAGCAAAATGAATTTTTCAAAGTGTAATAACAGTATTTTTCATATAAAATTTTTAAATATAAAGAGAAAGTTCTTTATCAATTTTAATAAACACTTTCTTATTGATTCATGAACACCTTTATTATATCTGCCTGAGGGTCTTACAGATCATAGTTGAAGATGATTTCAGGAGTGTTCTTTTGTGTATTAGTCATAAAGTTAGCCTATGGCCTATAAGTAAGATAAAATCAATAAATTACTTGAGATGTTTCCATTAACATAGCCCAAAATATTCTACATTTTCTATTTATGGAATGATAAAAAACTTTTGGTCATACTTTCATAAAACACAATTGTACATCAAGATCCAATGATATTATAAACTTTATACTTGTAAATTTTTTAGGGTGGATAAGACATACAACTTGTGGACTTGGAGTAAAGCAGTTTTCCAGTTTTTTGGAAAGCAGTTTTTTTAGTTCTTTATCGAAGTATGGGTATGCTGGTAGCCATAATCAGGGACCTTTGTTTTGGTTAATGATTTTTAATCTACCATTTACATGAATGAACTGATTCAGCTTGTGAAATGGATTATAAATTAACCATTTAAAATTGGACATTTGTTTCTGAAGAAAATGGTTTGATTTTCTAAATGTCTCTTCCATTCCTGTTTTGTTTTGTTTTGTTTTTTCTAAATCACTAATAGATTTTAGACATGAGGCAACTTTCTCAAAAGCTGTACCCAAAAATACTGAAAAATAAACATGAAAGCATATTAGAATTTTTTCAATTGGTGTATTAAAAACCAGCTAATCCTAAAAATAAGATAAAATTAGTGTGATGTGCATTACTTAAGTTATGTTATTATTTAAGTAATAAAATAATGTTACTTAAGTTATTATGAAGTCAAGGATTACCCTTGAATGTGTCATAAAAACTTATGGTTTAGAATTTTATCCTTTATGTCACTTGCATGGCTTAAGCATGTATATCTCAGGAATCCAACATTTCTTCTATACCATCAAAACATAAGACAGAAAACTTTCCTGAAATAGAGAAGAAAAAACATATATTTTAAATTAACTCATAAAAGTCCTGCATGATTTTAAAACATGCTAACATTCTATGATTCTGAAATAGTGCATACAGAATTTATATGTTATGTGAAATTATTCCTTTCTTTACTTATCAGTAATATGCAATTGATGAGATTCAGCTTCCTAATCATTTACTCAATTTTTCAAAGATAAAGAGCATAGCAGACCTCATCCATAGTTATCAATTCTTTATTAGCAAGTTGTTCTGACACTATTTTTCTACCCCTTGTCCACAAACGAGGCTTAAGTAGCCTTCCTTGGAGTTTATAGGAATCTGACAAATTCCATTAGAAAGTCAGTCTAGCTTTTTGTTTCTCTTGACATCAACACACTAGGTCAATCTGTGTCTTGAGAGGAGCGTGTCAAAATGGTTGTCTTACTGCATTTCTCATTGTTATTCTCTGGGGTGATATCTCTTGAAGGTCATATTATAGATCATTTTATCAAAGGAATGTCAACAATAGTAGCTGGGCAAGGGTTGGTTCCACCTAATCAGATAAGTCTTCAAAGCCACTAGCAGCTTTATGCCCTAACAAAACCTGGTGGTCAAAGTATTTCACCATGACTTTGGGCTAGTCTCAGACTTATCATATCTGATCTGCACATTCATTCTCAGACCTCAGAAGTACATTGCTTAATGTCTTTTATTCTGTAAGTATGGTGTGAAAGCCCAGATCAATGCAAGTATGCAAACGGTATTTTATTTTACTATTGCTCCTCTTTTGCCCCACACTTTTATGAACCTAAGTAGACACACACACACACACACACAATTTACCTATCAGCATCTACATAAATGTTTTCAGTTTGAAGCTTGAGTCTCAGAGTTACTTAAAAACAAGTCTAGTAATGAGTTCAGATGATGTTTGGACCAACCTGAAATCAGTCTTCAAGAAAAGGAAGTTCAATGTAACAGCTCATCAGCAGATTTGTCCTAAAGTTGGGCTCACCTGTGGTTAATTTATAGAATTTTACCCTTAATCTAACTTGTAGTATATTGTAGGAGGGATGGGTCAGATGGTGTGTAGCAACTTTCTGAATATGACAGTTACCAAGCATCGGTCTGCTGGATATTGCCCATCTAGTATGAGCTCCCTGGTTTGTATGTTTTAGCACTTATTTTCACTAAAATCTGCTCATCTAAATGTTATTTATTGACCAGTTCAAGCGCTAAAACTAAATTTTTATAGACAACCTTTACTCTCATGATAGGTTATTAAGTACCATTTCCTAATGAGATCAGCCAAATAAATTAGATCAGTCAAATAAATCATCAGAAAAATGAAGTCTCGAAAGAGCATAATGTAATAATTTGCTGTAAGTATGGGATGAATATATTGAACTCCATGGACTTTAGTTTTGACAGATTAAAAATAACCAGCTAATGAAATTTAGCACTAAAGTTTTATTCTTCTGTTGTCTCTAGAGAAACAATTAATTTGTTTTTATTTTGGTTTATAACTTGATTATAAATTGAGGGCTGGCTTGTTAATACAACCATGCACCTAGGCGCAAGCAATCTCGAAGAGCCATTGGGCATGGAATGCATTAAATTTTGTTTTTACTGCCTTGTAATGAGCCTTAACTATGACCTGTCACCCTTACACTAGATTACCCGGGGGTCTTTCTGTGTCAGATATCATGTGTGACTAGACTAGAGACTTGAACTTAACACAAATAAGAATTGGGTTTAAATTACTAAGCTAATTTTCATTTCCTGTTTTTAAATTTAATTACTTGCTTCCAGAAATAAGAGATAGTTGTGTTTAATACCAGCAGGCCCCATCTGTCTGTCCTACTATAAGCAGTTTATACATCCTTCCCCTTTTTTTCTTTCTCCCCCCCCACCTTTTTTTAGTATAATATGAGTAAATAGCACAATATCTACTCTTCATTCCAATAAGAATTTTAAAGTCTGGATAAAATATTTACCATGAGTTAACACCACAGTAGTTTGGCAGCATGTACATTAGAAATAACCTCTAATGAAGTTAAACGCTGAT